CCTTCGCCCCGACGTTGGTCCTAATGGCCCTCCTCTCGAGAATATAGTCGCCATCGTAGGTGATCGCCTAGAGCTTTCGCCCGGATCAGGTCGCCGCCCTCCGGATGGCTGACCAACGTCTTCCGGTCATCGCGATCCAAGCAGCGTTTGGTACTGGCAAGACCGTGGTTGGCGCCCTTATAACAGCCCGACTTCATTCTTCCACACGAAGTTTGGTTATAGCGACGGCCTCGAACTAACAACGCGGTAGCTCAATTCACGGAAACTCTGCTCCGTCTAGAACAGTACCACCATCTGGATATCTTGCGTTACGTGTCGGATTCCGCCTTAACAGAAGACAGACTCATCGACCTCCATTACCATCCTGAAGCACTTACTGCGCCGTTTACGGCAGATAATGTCCCCTCATACTCGTTTGACGCTGCAATGCCTACCGTCGCGGGACGCGAGCTTCTCGAACGTTTTCTGTTCCAGCACGATCTCGCCACAGAGCTCACCGATGCCGAGCGCGACGAGTACCGTTTGGCGGAACGCGACATCTCCGACCTAACCAGGGATGCCGTCGACGCGATGCTCGCAGTTCGCCCCCGGCGATAATCTGTATGACGACCGCAGCCCTCCTCAACTCCATCTCCCTGGGAGGCATCTTCAGCGGTAAAATCACGACCGCGGCCCACTCTCATAGGCGATGAAGCATCCCAGATACCTGAACCCGCCCTTGCTGCCTTAGCCACTCATTTACCGCAAGCACATCATATCTACATCGGTGACACTCACCAGCTTGAGCCCCACGCCCGGTGCCCCTGGTCATCAAATCCCGTGCGTTTCGGCGCCCAGAGCATAATGGATGTCCTGCTTGCGAAGAGAGTTCCATGCGCGCCTCTCACTACCACCTTTCGCGCGCATCCCCTCCTCAAATGAATTGCCGAATCTCATGTTTTCTAATATCCTGGTCAGTGGCACCCCCGCAATCGATAGGCAGCTCTTCCTATCTACGGTGAGATGTCCGAATCCGGAGTTGCCCTTCCTTTTCGTTGACGTCTCCGGCTCTTCGTCGAAGTCTCTTTCCGGCTCACACTCAACGAAGCCGAAGCCGAGGTCTGCCGTCAGATCATCTTGGCACTGCTCAGGAAGAACGTCCATCCTGACTCTTTGGCCATCATTGTCTTCTACAAAGAGCAGAGCCGCCTTCTAGGGCATTTCGCCAAGCGTACCCAAGTGAATCCACACGGTAGAAAATAGCTTCAATTGGCGTGAGAAGTTCCTGCTGACGAACACATACAGGCTTTGACGCTGAGCGAGGGGAATTCCTCAACGACCCCCACCGATTAAACGTAGCCCTGTCCCGTTGTCGCCACGGACAATTCGTGCTCGGTCATGAGAAATCCTTAGTCGGCTTGTCGTATTGGGACATCCTACTCCGTTGGGCCGTAACGACGACGGCCATCGCCTACCGATCTGCTCGAATAACCGGTTGTTTTTTCTCACTTGATGTCCATTACGGTGAGTACCATCTTTCTTTTCCTTTTCTCCTTTCATTTTCCCCCCGTTCTCAATCCGAGGACGAACTTTTTTACAATGGGGGGGGGAGGTGTAAGAGGTTTAAGAGTCCCGTAGATTATAGTAATTATATAGTGGTAGTAGTAGCGACCCTATCTATTTCTTTCATCAGCGCTTCTGCTGCGCGAGCTTGTGCTAGGGGTACGGTATTGCTGCATGGTATTTAAGGTCTGCGGCAGCCGATCGAGGCTTCTTCTCCGCACCGAGATCTCGCCGCCGTCCAGCTCGTCCGTTCGACTCCTCGCCCCAGAAGATCTCCTCCACGATCGTCGCCTCATGGTTCCAGCTCACTTCCAAGGTCCGGCTCACATCTGATACTCGACAACCAATGCGATCTCCTTCACTGTACTAATAAAGTCTACTAATATTCATGTTATTCAACAGCAGCACGCGGGGTCATAAACCCGCAAATATGACTATGTGCCCAATTCACGGCGTTCTCATTACTTTCGCATGACCGTACAGAGCGGTTGAAAAGTATGGACATCAATAAATCATCAGAAAAACGCTCCATTTCCAGTGGAGCATTTTTTCTGATGATTCTTCTACTAAATACACTACACTAAATCTTAAGTATCAAATTATACTGAAAGTTGGCAGCCATCCGACGATTAGCTACCACATATACGACCATACCAAATATTTCCAGACGTTGATACACTCATGTCGTAGAGTGTGTAAAAAGGTTATTTTCTTATTCTTCAGGTTTTCTATTATAAAACGGTCTTCTATTATAAAACCCTCACATGGCAATTCCAAGTGGATCTAGACCCGGGCTACTTAAAGACACTTGTTGACAGCACCCGGAGCATTGCACCCAGTCACACCATCGCCAATATCTCCCTCATAACGCGATCCCAAGAAGGGTAGAAGATCATCTGGAGCCTATTCTTTTTTCTGCAGCAGCGATATTCGAAGCCTTTTCTCGATAAGCCTGAGCACTGGTTTTTATTTTGGATTGCACAGTAATAAGAGGCTCACTATATGTAGGGAGATGCCGTTGTAAGCAGCAAGATCTTTGTAAGCGATTTCCCCTCTGAGAATTTTCTCTTCCTCAGATCTTCGAGAGTCGCGCCAACCAGTTTACATTTGTTTCACCGCTGTCACTGTATGATCGTAAAATAATCTCTTGACCAAAACTATTCCTTCACCCGGCGCACGCCAATTCTTCACATGCATACATCTCGCCGGCCTTTTTTCCGTGGCCTCGTTGGTACAGATGTAGTCTTCCAAAATTCGACAATCACGAAGCTCATAGCTCCATTTCACCATATTCTGGATTCTCTCGCGAATGAAACACAGACCCTTCGCTATCGACTCCAATGCTAAGCCGTCATTTATGCCCTTGAAGGCAGAAAACCTTGAAGTCGATGGATGTGAGAGCCAACCTCTTGATGCACCTACGCCAGTCCATCAACGCCATTCCATCATGAATATTAAGGATGCTCTCAGCCAATATCATTGAAGGGTAAAGGAGTACGAAAGCACGTGCACCCGAGGGAGACAAAGCACGCTGTCAGGAAAACTGGAATGTCAGCCCTCCAATCTCCTTATTTCAAGTGAACTTGGAAACCAACAGATCCACATGGCAGCACCTATGAGAGATGCCATATCTCTTCGAACCAGGCAACCGCTTACAGAACAGTTCCTCTATCCGCTCCCGTACTTACATCCACTACAAAACGAATAACAGGAGAAATCCATGAACTAACTCGTACAGATGACGTGGTTTGCTTATCACGGATCATATATAAGATACAAGTAAGTCAGGAAGGGTATTCGATCAAGTATGAGCTGCTCATCTTTCGGAGACGAGGCGCAGAATTTCATGAGTGTTTGGGAGGTAGAAGCAGCTGGAAGGACGAAGATAATGGAAGCGAAGGAACGACGCATGAAACGCATCGAAGAAGCCAAATATCTAGCCCTGGTTGAAATCGAGCAGTTCAGAGAGGTTGGTTAAAACATCTTCTAAAGAGTTTTTGGACTTCTATTTCTGCTTGCGTGAATTCCCATATTTTGCTCTATCTTCTCCCACTGCTTCTATGTAATGAGCTGACGACGTAGCACGCCTTTTTGCGGTGGCCACTTTAAGAGTTGAGGCGCAGGTGTAAACGTTAGGACGAGCAATTCGGTGGAAACGCGTGACATTTACGGTCCCCACGCTCCAGTGGCACCCGAATCTTCCGCGTGGAGCATAGACGGTCAGAGCGGACATGACAGGTGTCTGTACTGCATAACCGGAATTTCGAAGTCGACTAGGTAGCAATGTCCACGCTTTCTGTGACTGGTGCGACGCGGGTGTATTTCAAGAGGTGCTGACGAAGTTTAGCGGGTCCACGCGGCAGCGTCTCTGCGTCTTTTTACCCAACCAAGACTTAGCTTTAGAGCACAGTCACGGTCGTCGGGGGCTACTCTTGCAAAGCACACAGTCTCTACAACTCGAATCGTCTGCGCACGAAGCCTGAATCTTGGATAGGGGAAGAGGCGCAGAGACCCTCTCGCGTGCCTCCCCCCCTCCCCAACCAACTATGCTAGCAGTGTTCTAGGTTCGAATTATGGCATCGCATGCAACCTAGTTAGTTGACTTGGAACATGCCACATTGAATCAGTCGAGTTCTCGTGCGGATGCCGCGCACGTCGCAACACTATCTACGCCCCTTAAACGTAATTCAAGTCCTCTGAGCTTCCCCCTTTACGAGATAGATGAGGCCGTCAGTCGCGTGAGAATGCCAAACTCTTGATGATATGCTTAAACGCCCACTCAGCTTCGATTTCGTTTATCTGCAAAAACAAGCCCCCACCATGAGGAACCGAGGCGCCTCCGATCTGACAGCACCGACTATGCCGCTTTCAGGAAAAAGAGGCAGAGTTCCAAGAAATATGTGATTCGATGAAAGAAAGCATCCAGGAGAAAGCCGAGAAAGCACGTGAATTGGCTAAACGTGAACTCGAGTATATGGAAGAAAGGGTGAAACTATGTAAGCCACTGGTAAGTTGTTCACTCGGAAAGATTTAAAGATAAGAATAATCGATTAGGCTATTCATTTGCGGACAAGGCTTTTCACTGAAGCATCGTTCAGACTTCGCGATGATGGTGTCGACGCACGTTATCGTGAAGTCTGAACGCCTAAGAGCTTCACGCTAGGGGCATTGAAATGCATAAGAATCGTAGGCATGCTGGCGTACAGCGCCGGCAAATCATCTAACTGTTTTGCAACGTGTGAAATTACAACAAATCATGAAGATGAACAACATCAACGGTGATACAATAAACAATAGCAATATTGTTGACAAAAAAACCTTAATCAGGTCCCGGTATTTGAACAGCCTTTGATAAATAACACGTTCTTACCCAAAAAGAACTGCGCCCTAGCGACGAAATAGGTTGACGGAAAGAAAGTTGAATAAGTGAGAAATGTTCTCTGGTCCCGGATAGGACCATTCTCATTCCTTTCAAGACT